TATTTTCTGCGTATTGTTCTGTTTTTTTGTTATTTTTCTTTTTGATCGTGGTGTTGTCTGTTTTGATTTGATGATTTTTTATCTCCCCCTTGGTATCTTCTTTCATTAGTTATAGTGTAGACATAATCAGCATCAAATGTTTAATATCTCTAACATAGTGAACACATTTAAATTTTTATCCTGCAATCGACCTTTCTACTATACAAATGCAGTTGTACAGATAACACGAAGCTCGGGTGACACTACTTGTCCAGAACGAGGTTGTGAGCGAACGGTTATATTCATGTAAGTGAATAAACTTATTTTCATTAATGCGTAATGTTATTTTAGGTAGGTTTTTTAATCATTTAAATGTTTACCGTCTGCTTAACTTATATAGATACATAAAATAAAAATATTTCAAATTAACTGGCCGTGCATGCATTCTAAAGAACATCATTGACCTATTTCTTTTGACCCAATTTAATTTGAACTGGTATAATTGAAATTTTTGTGAAAGTGATTGTGTTTGTATTTGTCTTGTTCCGGTTGTGTTGGTCTGTATCTTTATTTATTTTTTCTTTTGTGAAGAACGTGCATTGGATTTGCTGTTGCTGCTCGTGGAATATTCGCCTGCTTAGTTGACTGAACATTGCATGCATATATAACATATTAAGATAAGAAGATGTGGTATGATTATAAAGGGAGAACTGTTTACCATCGACTAAATGAGGTAGTTGTAAGTAACTATTGGTCACCGAATGGCCTTCGACCATGAGCAAAACCCATCATATAGTATAGTAAGCTATAACAGGGTTGACAACATGTAAAACAATTCATACTCGAAAAAAATGGCCTGATTTTATGTTCAAAACAATAAACGAAAAATTAATATGATACATAACAAGCAACGACAACCACAGAAATACAGGTGTATGACTTGGGACAGGCAGATAGATTATGTTTCTGGGTTAAACATATTTGCCAGTGCTCAACCATCCCTCTAATTTTTGTAATTGCATAAGTTTGCTTGTACATCAATATTAGTTCAACCACGCCATATATTCAGGTGCCTGTCGCAAGTTGGGAACATCATACTTTCGTTAGTAGTTGTCTGTTGTCATATTTCAATTTGTTTGATATGTGGTGAATTTGGTGTTGATGGCAGGTCATGGATTGGTAGTTTAATGTATTTAGAATTTGTTATAGCCCACTTCTTCTTTTTATAATGTTAACAACATTATTGATGCATGTGATAATTGAAAATCTCGGTAGACGCATGCATGTGATAATTAAAAGATCTCGGTAGACACATGCATGTGATAATTTAAAGATCTCGGTAGACACATGCATGTGATAATTAAAAGATCTCGGTAGACGCATGCATGTGATAATTTAAAGATCTCGGTAGACACATGCATGTGATAATTTAAAGATCTCGGTAGACACATGCATGTGATAATTAAAAGATCTCGGTAGACGCATGCATGTGATAATTTAAAGATCTCGGTAGACACATGCATGTGATAATCTAAAGATCTCGGTAGACGCATGCATGTGATAATTTAAAGATCTCGGTAGACACATCCATGTGATATTGAGGAGATCTCGGTAGATACATGCATGTGATAATCTAAAGATCTCGGTAGACACATGCATGTGATAATTGGAAGATCTCGGTAGACACATGCATGTGATAATTTAAAGATCTCGGTAGACACATGCATGTGATAATTTAAAGATCTTGGTAGACACATGCATGTGATAATTGGAAGATCTCGGTAGACACATGCATGTGATAATCTAAAGATCTCGGTAGACACATGCATGTGATAATTGGAAGATCATGGTAGACACATGCATGTGATAATTTAAAGATCTCCGTAAACACATGCATGTGATAATTGGAAGATATCGGTAGACACATGCATATGATAATTGGAAGATCTCGGTAGACACATGCATGTGATAATTTAAAGATCTTGGTAGACACATGCATGTGATAATTGGAAGATTTCGGTAGACACATGCATGTGATAATCTAAAGATCTCGGTAGACACATGCATGTGATAATTGGAAGATCTCGGTAGACACATGCATGTGATAATTTAAAGATCTCGGTAAACACATGCATGTGATAATTGGAAGATATCGGTAGACACATGCATATGATAATTGGAAGATCTAGGTAGACACATGCATGTGATAATTGGAAGATATCGGTAGACACATGCATATGATAATTGGAAGATCTCGGTAGACACATGCATGTGATAATTGGAAGATCTCGGTAGACACATGCATATGATAATTGGAAGATCTCGGTAGACACATGCATGTGATTATTGGAAGATCTCGGTAGACACATGCATATGATAATTGGAAGATCTTGGTAGACACATGCATATGATAATTGGAAGATCTCGGTAGACACAGGTTTTGAAATCAAATAGTATAACTTGTAGCACTGTCATGAACCATCTCTTAGTACAAACTAAATGAACCAGTTTTAGGCAAATGTAATAAAGCACCGACCAATCATCGTTTGTGGGAAAGGGAATTTGATTGATTCATAATTTCTTGAAAATAGAAAAAAAACGTCTCAGAAAACATTGTTTGCTTCTATAGAAAACAAGAAAGAAAGAAAAAAAAAACATTCATTGACTTTTTTAAAAATTTTGTTCCTGTATATTGATAATATAAATAAATCCTTGTTTTTAATAAAGTTGAAAAACAAATGTTTGTCCCGAGAGAAAAAAAAATGCGCCTCCACAAAAAACGATGAATGGTCAGTGCCTAACTGATGACAAAACAGACACATTCACTAAATTACGTGATTCACTGTGTATTTAAACCTGTACCTGTTGAAAGTACTATACATTAATATTAATGTTAATAATACCTGTAACGAATCATATAGGCTTAGCGTATATTGTATTTTCCGTAAAAAACGATGAAATTTTTTTTAAACATGCTTATACTACATGTCGAATATAAAAGATTGTAAGTGAATAAACATCTGAACGAACAGGACGATATGATTATCCAAGTAAGATATCGAATGTATTAACAGATATCAGGTCAAACACGTAGTTCCAAGTCTAACCTGACGACAAAATGATAACGGTTAGTCACAACGTCCTAAGTCTAACCTGACGACAATATGCTAACGGTTAGTCACGTCGTCCTAAGTCTAACCAGACGACAAAATGCTAACGGTTAGTCAAGTCGTTCTAAGTCTAACCTGACGACAATATGCTAACGGTTAGTCACGTCGTCCTAAGTCTAACCAGACGACAAAATGCTAACGGTTAGTCAAGTCGTCCTAAGTCTAACCTAACGACAAAATGACAACGGTAAGTCACGTCGTCCTAAGTCTAACCTGACGACAATATGCTAACGGTTAGTCACGTCGTCCTAAGTCTAACCAGACGACAAAATGCTAACAGTTAGTCAAGTCGTGCTAAGTCTAACCTAACGACAAAATGATAAAAGTTAGTCAAGTCGTGCTAAGTCTAACCTAACGACAAAATGATAACGGTTAGTCACGTCGTCCTAAGTCTAACCTGACGACAAAATGCTAACGGTTAGTCACGTCGTCCTAAGTCTAACCAGACGACAAAATGCTAACGGTTAGTCAAGTCGTCCTAAGTCTAACCTAACGACAAAATGACAACGGTTAGTCACGTCGTTCTAAGTCTAACCTGACGACAATATGCTAACGGTTAGTCACGTCGTCCTAAGTCTAACCAGACGACAAAATGCTAACAGTTAGTCAAGTCGTCCTAAGTCTAACATAACGACAAAATGATAATGGTTAGTAATGTAGTCCTCAGTTTTGTGTGACGACAAAATACTAACGGTTAGTCATGACATGCATGTTTACCAGTTTCTCTACATAAATGTAATACAAGGATTAATAATGCTGTAGGAACAGCTGGCCCTTCCAGAGCACATGAGTTCATCCACAATTATTTGGTGGGGTTCGTTATGCTCAATCTTTATTTTCTGCGTATTGTTCTGTTTTTTGTTATTTTTCTTTTTGATCGTGGTGTTGTCTGTTTTGATTTGATGATTTTTTATCTCCCCCTTGGTATCTCCTTTCATTAGTTATAGTGTAGACATAATCAGCATCAAATGTTTAATATCTCTAACATAGTGAACACATTTAAATTTTTATCCTGCAATCGACCTTTCTACTATACAAATGCAGTTGTACAGATAACACGAAGCTCGGGTGACACTACTTGTCCCGAACGAGGTTGTGAGCGAACGGTTATATTCAACTTATAGTTTCCCTCCCAGTTTAAGTCATGTTGATTTCATTCAAAAACAAATTCAATAGTTGTGACATAAAAATAGTATATTTAAGCGCTTAAGATAAAAACAATATTTGTACATTGCAGTAAAATATGAAGCTCGACGAGCCTCGATTTTCTCTATGTTTCTAAAGCTACACATAAATTTATATTTATATTTTCCTACAATGTACGAATATTGTATATAAAACTACAGATGTCATAAGTCTTTGTGACATTTCGGGTGCTGTCTCGTTGACGTATACCAAGTTATCTTTTCTTTCAGGATCATGTGTCAAAATATACAGTTATAAACCATGTTTAGCTTCTATGTACTTTAATTTGTAGCGTACTTACAGGTATAATTGTTTAAGTTATGTTACTAACTTTATATGTAGTGTTGCCCTTTATGATAAAAGCAATTATGCCTGGAATATTCTTTACAGAATTTTTTCGTGCTGTTTTATAGGTCAGTAACAAAAGTGACAGAGTTTTAAAATGCTCTTGTTTGACAACAAAGGTAAAACGATTTTATAAGAAATGAGTCAGAAATTAAAATATATTGAATAAGGAAGGGTCATGTGTGCCAGTAATTTATATTCGAACGGTTAGTTCATTTTAAGAGATATCGAAGCACAAGTTGGTTTTATTTTAAAGTGCTCACCTATTGTTTCCTATTAATATTAATTGATAGCAATAGGATTTATTATTTTTTATTTTAGAATGTCAGATAAAATCAGTTATGATCCTGCATTGACAAAACTGTGGGAAGTGAAAAAAGAAGCAGAAAAGTTAGGTCTTCCTGAAACCATCATGTCGGGTCTACAAGCTGTTGAGGATCTATTTGAGGTACAAATTGAATATTCCGCCATCTTGGATTGTAAAATAGCAGGAACGAATCGGTTAGATCATTAATAAAATATCAAAATTTTGAGAGAGGAATGCAATTACTTATACATTTATAAGACTTTTCGTCTAAATGAAGTGTTTAAACTTATTACTACGAATGTATTTACAAAAACAGAAAACTGTTTTTGTTTGATTCAACTTTTTCTAACTTTTTATAAGAGGGATAGCCCAGATAAAGTTATTTTATAAAGGAATGTACAGTAAATGTTCCCTTTTTTTGTTTTGTAGCAAGAACATGAGTTCCCTGACCCCAAGTTTTCTTTTTAATTTTCTGAACGCACATTATAAGAGCTATCTTCTAAACTACATTTTGGCAAAGAAAACAAAATCTATTGTTTTTAATTTAGACCCCAAACATGGAATAACACGAGAGAAAATAGTAAATAGTGTGGCAATGACCTGATTATGTAATTATCAATGATTTCTCTATCTCTCTCCTTTGATATTGTAATGCATTATCTTACAGCTTATTTATCTTAAATTCTTTCCAGGCAAGAGAAGCCTACTGCGATGGTAAAACGTCAGAGCCAAGTGATGCATTATCAAAACTTATGAAAGATACCATTGAACATCCATGGCAACAGGTGTTTAGTGAAGGAAAAACTAAATGGAATATAAGTACTAGAATGTTGTCGGGAAATCTTGAAGGTGAAAACAAAATTAAAACAAATAAAACATAGATAAAAAAAAACATCACTGGTTATTCGAAAGGTCAAAATATGTTTGTTGTGTTTAAAATATTATGTTATGTTTTGTAGTAGTTATACGATATTGCGAATAGTGACGGGTGCCACTAGTGGAGCAGGGGTCGTTTGACCATCCGGAGCGCCTGATTTCATCCCCGTTTTTAGTTGGGTCATTATTTAGTTTTCTGTATTTTTCTTTGGTATTTTCTTCCTCTTTTGTAGACTTTATTTTATAATACATCTGTTTCAGGCTACATTCTCAAATTTTTTGTCAGTGCATCAAAAGCGAAAAGAGTTTTAGAAGTTGGAATGTTTACTGGTTGTGGCGCCCTTGGTATGGCGGAAGTAATGCCAGATGACGGGAAGGTCGTGACCTGTGAATTTGACCCATACTTGGTGAAATTAACTAGAACATTTTTGGACAGGTCCCCGCACGGAAAAAAGATAACTATTCTTGAAGGTTTGTGTTCACTATTTATTCTTACCTTTTATGTCATATTAAACTACTATTATTTTAAATTTATATTCATCCTTTTTGTCGAGCCTGCGACTTTTGTCGCAGAAAGCTCGACATAGGGATAGTGATCCGGCGGCGGCTGCGTTAGCTAACTTCTTAAAAGCTTTATATTTTAGAAGCTAGAAGACCTGGATGCTTCATACTTTGTATATAGATGCCTTATGTTACGAAGTTTCCGTCTGTCATATGTCCATTGTCCTTGACCTCATTTTCATGGTTCAGTAACTACTTGGAAAAAAGCCAGTTTTTTTTGTAATGTTAATTTCTTTCTTATTATGAGTAATATGATAACTATATTTAGTATGTGCGTACCTTGCAAGGTCCTCATGCCCGTCAGACAATTTTCATTTGACCTCGACCTCATTTCATGGATCGGTGAACAAGGTTAAGTTTTCGTGGTCAAGTCCATATATCAGATACTATAAGCAGTAGGTCTACTATATTTGGTATATGGAATGATTGTAAGGTGTACATGTCCAACTGGTAGGTGTCATCTGACCTTGACCTCATTTTCATGATTCAGTGGTCAAAGTTAAGTTTTTGCGTTTTGGTCTTTTTTTCTAATACTATATGCAATAGGTCAACTATATTTGGTGTATGGAAATATTTTATGATGTACATGTCAGTCTCGTAGGCCTCATTTTCACGATTCATTTCTCAGTGTTGAGCTTTTGTGTTTTGGTCTGTTTTTCTTCAACTATAAGCAATAGATCAACTATATTTGTTGTATGGAAGGATTGTAAGGTGTATATGTCTGTCTGACAAGTATCATCTGACCTTGACCTCATTTTCATGGTTCATTGGTTAATGTTTAGTTTTCATGGTTAAGTTTGTTTCTTAGATACTATAAGCAATAGGTCAACTGTATTTAATGCATACATTGATTGTAAGGTGTACATGTCTGTCTGGCAAGGTTCATCTGACCTTTACCTCATTTTCATGGTTCATTGGTCAATGTTAAGTTTTCTTGGTTAAGACTGTTTCTTAGAAACTGTAAGCAATAGGTCAACTATGTTTGGTTTATTGAATGATTGTAAGGTGAACAAGTATTTCTCGTTTGGTTTATCTGACCTTGACCTCATTTTCTTGGATCATGTTAAGTTTATGTGTTACTTGTAGTAAAGCTTTATATTTAGGACTATCAACATAAAATCAATGGTTAGTAAAGAAGGCGAGACATTTCAGCGTGTGCACTCTTGTTTCTTTTAAAACAAAGTCTATAAGTAGGTTCATCTGTTAAGATTTAAAACATGAACTGGAATAACAGGAATTATCAAAAATAACTAGTACATTACAACAGATCACAACACAGCCAATACCGACTCCTTTGAGACATGCAAATACTCAGCTTTCAATATTCTCAATTTTAGGTCCTGCATTAGACAGTTTAAATGACCTTGGCAAGAAAGGAGAGAAATTCGACTTCATCTTTATAGATGCGGATAAACCGGGTTATTGTGACTATTTTAATGTGAGTATGAGAGTTCACTTAAATGCATTTAGTGGCATTATTGAGTTACATAAAGATTATTCCATCTTTTGAATATTGATCAAACTGGACAATCTATAATTTCCACGTAAAACAAGCAACAGAAAATATAGAAGGTATATGAATAAAAAGAGATGTGTGTAAATACCGATAAGACAGCAAACCAACAATACACACACAATGATAACGTACAGCCAGCATAATTCATTTCCAAATAACAGAGTGCCATTGAATACTTTTGTGTCAATCAAGACTGGTCAGGTTGTTCATAACATAAAAATAAGGAGAAGTAGTATGATTTTAAATGAAATAAATAAGAATATTAAAGTCAACAAATATATATATAACACAAACAAATAACCATTGATGGGGATCTTGACTTGGGACAGGCAATTTGACATATTCCAGAGTTTAAATAATTGTTTTACCTCTCGTCCAAATATTAAAAAAAAATGCAGTGCAGATGATATCTTTCATGTTAGGATTCTATGCGGATCATGTCCGCGTGGACAACAACAGTAACATCGAAACAAAGGTAGTAAACAAGAGGCTCTTAAGTGCCTTAATCGCTCACCTGGTAAAGGTATTCCATTTTAGGCAGTTAAGCTGCCTTATGCTAGCACCCTAGATTTGTGTTCTTCCCAACGAATGCCGAAAAAAGTGCCATTGTTATAATCTAGCAGGCTGATGATGTTATTTATAACTAATTGGACATTCTTTTAATTCTGGAATACAAAAAATATAACCAGAATAACCTTAAATGATCGTCGAACGACCCATAATATTTGAAGTTGCACATAGGAAATAGTGCTCAATAGAAATCCGTACGTAGTTTATTATCCCCTGTGCTTTTGGCTAAGATGTCAAAGAACAATTGTATGAAATATTTCATCGCCGAAAATCTGTAATTACAAGTCGTTTATATTTCCCAAATGGCAAAATGCGCAGGAATATTGTTCATGTACAACAAATCTCTATGATAGAGGAAATACAGTTATATATCTAAGTTGGCGGTAATCTCACAACTTATCTTGCCAAATAAGGTTGTTGTTTTATGAATGAAACGAGGTCATGAAACAAATCCGGAAATCGACGTCGATGGGATGTTTTAAAAGAGGGACGAACGATACCAGAGGTACAGTCAAACTCATAGATCGAAAACAGACTGACAACGCCATGGCCAAAAATAAAAAGACAAACAGACAAATAACAGTACAGATGACACAACATAGAAAACTAAAGACTAAGCAACATTTAAGTAATGTGGACAACTCGTCCCTGAGACAAGTCGGACCGAATCCACTTGAACCGTCTAAGAAGACAACTCGGACCGCTTGTCAAATTTAGTTAGGGTTTCATAAAATGTTAGACTAACATGTCTAGCGGAGCCATCAATCCTTAAAGTTTGTTTGTGCATTGGGGTCTATTTAGGGGTATTTTGAGGGGCCTAAAGAAGGGATGGGTTTACTGTAGAACCCAATGGGGTTTTATTTTTTAAATTTTCAAATGACTATTTCTCGAAAACAGTAAGTGATAGACACACGGGGGTCATCCCAACCCCCTTCAATTTGAAAATGTGCTTTTATCTTGTAAACGGTCGCAACCCCACCCATAAACCATATATATACTTGTATGAGACAATAAAACAAATCAAATGAAAATAATGTGGGGGAGTACCCGGTGTCACCCACCCCCTTCTGTTTGAGAACTTGTAAACGGTCGAGATCCCCACCCCTAAACCATATATATTCATGTATGGGACAATATAACAAATAAAATGAAATATATGGGGAGTCCCTGGGGTCACCCCACCCCCTCCTGTTTGAGAACTTGTAAACGGTCGAGATCCCCACCCCTAAACCATATATATTCATGTATGGGACAATAAAACAAATCAAATGAAATGCATGGGGAGTCCCTGGGGTCACCCCACCCCCTACTGTTTGAGAACTTGTAAACGCTCGAGATCCCCACCCCTAAACCATATATATTCATGTATGCGACAATTTAACAAATCAAATGAAATATATGGGGAGTCCCAGGGGTCACCCCCACATCCTCCTGTTTGAGAACTTGGAAATGGTTGAGATCCCCACCCCTAACCCATATATATTCATGTATGGGACAATAAAACAAATCACATGAAATATGGGGGAGTCCCTTGGATCACCCCACCACTCCTGTTTGAGAACTTTGAAATGGTCGAGATCCCCACCCCTAAACCATATATATTCATGTATGGGACAATAAAACAAATCAAATGAAATATAGGGGGAGTCCCTGGGGTCTCCCCACTCCCTCCTGTTTGAGAACTTGTAAACGGTCGAGATTCCCACCTCTAAACCATATATATTCATGTATGGGACAATATAACAAATCAAATGAAATATATGGGGAGTCCCTGGGGTCACCTCACCTCCTACCCCTTAACCATATATATTCATGTATGGAACAATAAAACAAATCAAATGAAATATAGGGAGAGTCCCTCGGTTCACCCCACCCCCTCCTGTTTGACAACTTGTAAACGGTCGAGATACCCACTCCTAAACCATATTTATTCCTGTTCGTCATTTCAAAAAGATTTGACTGACATACAGGGTCAATCCCCTAGGCGTCACATATGCATATCACTTTACTAGACCAAACCAATATGTACTGGACTTTGCCCATTGTCAGGCGACCATGGGAATGACGAATTATGGGAGCTTTGTTTGGGAGACGGCATCCTGTTACAATTATTTTTTGTTTATTATAAAATTTTATTGATGCAAAAAATGAGTCTAGGTTAATTGAATTTACACTAATTATTTTTTGAATTATTTCTGGGCCTATAATAATTTTCATTTTATGTAAAGAAAACATATAAATCTTTCAAGCAGTGTAAAGCCCAAGAATGTTTGACCAACTGTTTTATATCAATGACCTGTCATTTTATTCCAAACTTGGTATGGAGTGACATCATTGACTTTGGGTGAAGATGGGGGTCATTTACATTGATATATATGCGTTGCTTTTGAAAACCTTGATGAAATATTAATTAATTTGCCTTGATAATCAATTCATTAGATAAACATAAATGTACAATGTACGAATGTTTAATGTTTGTTCTTTCAAATCTTAAAAAAAAAAAAAATTGAAGCAACACTGCCACAGTTTTCATATTACGTTTGCCTTGGTTTTTGGTTAACTGCCTACAGCGCTTACAGTGCTTTGATTATATGATTGTTTTTCCTTTATTGCAATCAGCTATTATTAATACTGGTTTTAATAGAAAATAACTTTTGCACGTAGCGTCTACAATGGTCAATTTACGAACGACGACAGTTATGAATAGAAATGCAGTGACTTTTAAAACCATATAAAATAATAAAAAGAAGCATTTAATTCTTATAATTACATAGCGAATACAATCCAGCCTTTTGGTTTTTTTTTCTATATATGCAATGTTATACATGTATAAATATGTTTTAGGTATCGATAAAATACCTTTTAGCACCAGGTGGTACTATTGCTCTGGACAACACATTACACTATGGTAAACCGTATCTAAAAGACTCGCCTGAGGATGAACCAATTAACGATATGCTAATGACCAGGGATGATGTTTATCATGTATGTATTCATTCATGACATGCCAAAAATGCAACTAAAATATAGTTGCATTGTGAAACAAGGAAAAGTTGCCAATGAAATATAAATAAATAATCATGTACCATTAATGCAATTTAACCCAAGATTTCAAGATTTCAAGCATCTTTTATTTTTTTAACACCATATAGTTACAATGGTACAAAGAAGTTCATTAAAAGTTATAACATAACATAAACCAACATGACAAGATGAGATGAAAAAAAAAAATGAAAATGGAGCATTTAACTTAAATGAAGAGAAATGGTATAATTACAAATGAGAAACTATCTATGAAGATTAAATGATCTTCAAATTAGAGGCAATGGTAGTTTATCGATTTTCAAATCTCATAAATACAAATCAAGGTAAAACAAAAGTGAGGGAATTGCATGAAATCCAAAAAGAGCGAGGTGAGTCGACAGGGTAAATGTCCCCTGTTAAGCTTGCATATACACGGAATTAAAGTTAATAGTTCTTAATATAAAAATAAGGAGATGTGGTATGATTGCCATTTAAACAACTATCCACCAAAGTTCAGATAAAGTGAATGTATCACTTGTTCAGGTTAGTTCTACAAAAATAACTAACAGTAACAATTGTAAGTACTTTCTGGCACTAAAAAAGGCATATTGGGGCCCTTTATAGCTTGATGTGCGGTGTGAGCCAAGGCTCCGTGTTGAAGACCGTACTTTGATCTATAATGGTTTACTTTTATAAATTGTGACTTGGATGGAGAGTTGTCTCATTGGCACTCATACCACATCTTCTTATATCTATATACAATATTTTACATGTTCGTGTTATATTTTCTAAATATAATCAGGAAATGTTGGAATCAACGTTTTCTAAATAAAGACTGGTATGTAATATCAAAGGTTAACTACATTTGCATTTGTCTTTTTTTTTTTTTAAATTATACTGGATAATTCTATTGTCTTTAGTACTCGCCAAGTTTACTTTTGTTCTATATATACACTGTCTGGAGATACAAATAGAACCACCTATGATAAAATCGAGTAGATTGATTGTTTCAGAAGATTGATATGTATAAATAATTTTAATTGAAAAAAAAATGTTTTTCCTTAGGTGTTAATGCCAGTAAGAGATGGAATAATGCTTGTTAGAAGAAAGGAAGACATGAACGGATGATGATTCCTAAAGTCTAATGTGGATTAATTGATTGGGCAAATACAGTTGCATGCTAATTAGAACTCACATAGCCTTTTTAAATTTTTGATAACATACATCTTTGTTCGAGTTTTAATTAATCATCAAATAGCTGTATTTTGAGGAGTTTTTTATTTTTATTCTACGATGTTTTGAATATCTCTTATCAAATCAGGCTATAGAAGGTTTTTATTTATTGGTTTTGTTTTTCGTAGAAGGGTTGTTGTTTCAGTATAATTGAGTGTTCTTAGTGTTTGAAATTACATTTTAATATATTTTTTAAATCCATACCAATGAAAGTAGTGTTGCATACAATTCAATTAGAATTTCTATTTTTTTAAAGAAATTACATTGAAGTAGAACATAATCTACATAACCGGAGGAACTATCCTAGCCCTGAGTCGCTAACTTTATTAATTTCTAGAAGAAGATGTAGATATATTTTTTTTTTAATCTGTAATATACGTTCTTCAGCAAGTGTTGCAACTGCTTGAGGCAGAACTGATCATAAATAGTTTAGGTCTTATCTATAGGCCTGGTTTAATGCTTCCAAACATCGTCCAATAGTTTTAGTAAGGAGCGTATTCGAAAACGCATGAAAAACTCATGATGTGTGTACTAACAATGAAAACATAACTTTATAAAGATCCATCAGTGGCGCATTCTTGATTTATAGTCGTTTATTTTAGATAGGTATTTTACGTGTACATATATTTATCTCAAGGTCTGTGGTATGATGCCTCATCATAAGATATGATTGTCTTACATGAGTAACACAGCAGGGGTCACTAGTTCAGCAAAACCTTTTAAGATCACCTGAGTTCACCCTTATTTTTGTTGAATTGAATGTTGCTCAGTTTTTTGTGTTTGTGTTTTGACTTTTATTTGCCTTGTCGTCGTTTTCTGTTTGTCGTTAATGTTAATGTGTTTTTTTTCCTTACACGGTATTTAATACTTTCTAGAATCATGCAATTCATAGTTCGTTAGATGCACAAATATATATGCCACACAAAAATCATCTTCAAAACGTTCTGGCATTACTCTCTGAATTTTCACAATTTTTTATCAGAGGTGACCCCAGTCAAAAAATGGGAAAAAAAATTTTCAGATTTTTGGAGTAAATGCGGTACTGCTAAAAAGGGCCTGAAGATAATGTCCACTTTCTCCAATGATTCTTTGTATGTCATCAAGTACTGATTATATTGATACCAAAACCGATCCAATATGTAACTACTACGGTGAATTTTGAACAACAGTTTTAAATGAAACCATTTTCGTATAAAAGTACATTTTTGAAACAGACTATAGCATTTCAAAATATGAAAAATGTGTAAACATTTGTGTTTAAACATCGAAAACTATTCGTTAACTACAAAATGTCATGCCCATTCTTTTTATATAGTCTGTCATTCGAGTGAACATTTCAATGTTCGAAGGGGATCATTTCTGTACATTTTCACTGAATTTGGTAATTTCGATAACAGCACTTGGATCGAGATTGTCATGTTTAAAAATCGATTTGTGTATCCAAACTCTAGACGTGTACGTGCTTTTTTCAAACAAATCAGCAGAAGTTCAGAAAATGACATAGTCTCTCCACAGTAAGTCAAAAGTCGAACCCACCCTTGTTTCTGGGGTAAAACGCAATACAAAAATGAAACAGACTATAGCTTAAAGACTAGTTAATCAATAATTCATTTGTCACCAAAAAATACGGTTTCACATCAAATATCAAGTAAAATTACAGTTTTTGACACTTTTTGAGCACTATGATATAGAAATGTCGACGCTGTATACCGTATTTAATACTTTCTAGAATCATGCAATTCATAGTTCGTTAGATGCACAAATATATATGCCATACAAAAATCATCTTCAAAACGTTCTGGCATTACTCTCTGAATTTTCACAATTTTTTATCAGAGGTGACCCCAGTCAAAAAATGGGGGAAAAAAATTTCAGATTTTTTGAGTAAATGCGGTACTGCTAAAAAGGGCCTGAAGATAATGTCCACTTTCTCCAATGATTCTTTGTATGTCATCAAGTACTGATTATATTGATACCAAAACCGATCCAATATGTAACTACTACGGTGAATTTTGAACAACAGTTTTAAATGAAACCATTTTCGTATAAAAGTACATTTTTGAAACAGACTATAGCATTTCAAAATATGAAAAATGTGTAAATATTTGTTTAAACATCGAAAACTTTTCCATAACTACAAAATGTCATGCCCATTCTTTTTTATATAGTCTGTCATTCGAGTGAACATTTCAATGTTCGAAGGGGATCATTTCTGTACATTTTCACTGAATTTGGTAATTTCGATAACAGCACTTGGATCGAGATTGTCATGTTTAAAAATCGATTTGTGTATCCAAACTCTAGACGTGTACGTGCTTTTTTCAAACAAATCAGCAGAAGTTCAGAAAATGACATAGTCTCTCCACAGTAAGTCAAAAGTCGAACCCACCCTTGTTTCTGGGGTAAAACGCAATACAAAAATGAAACAGACTATAGCTTAAAGACTAGTTAATCAATAATTCATTTGTCACCAAAAAATACGGTTTCACATCAAATATCAAGTAAAATTACAGTTTTTGACACTTTTTGAGCACTATGATATAGAAATGTCGACGCTGTATACGGTATTTAATACTTTCTAGAATCATGCAATTCATAGTTCGTTAGATGCACAAATATATATGCCACACAAAAATCATCTTCAAAACGTTCTGGCATTACTCTCTGAATTTTCACAATTTTTTATCAGAGGTGACCCCAGTCAAAAAATGGGAAAACAAATTTTCAAATTTTTTGAGTAAATGCGGTACTGCTAAAAAGGGCCTGAAGATAATGTCCACTTTCTCCAATGATTCTTTGCATGTCATCAAGTACTGATTATATTGATACCAAAAACGATCCAATATGTAACTACTACGGTGAATTTTGAACAACAGTTTTAAATGAAACCATTTTCGTATAAAAGTACATTTTTGAAACAGACTATAGCATTTCAAAATATGAAAAATGTGTAAATATTTGTATTTAAACATCGAAAACTATTCGTTAACTACAAAATGTCATGCCCATTCTTTTTTATATAGTCTGTCATTCGAGTGAACATTTCAATGTTCGAAGGGGATCATTTCTGTACATTTTCACTGAATTTGGTAATTTCGATAACAGCACTTGGATCGAGATTGTCATGTTTAAAAATCGATTTGTGTATCCAAACTCTAGACGTGTACGTGCTTTTTTCAAACAAATCAGCAGAAGTTCAGAAAATGACATAGTCTCTCCACAGTAAGTCAAAAGTCGAACCCACCCTTGTTTCTGGGGTAAAACGCAATACAAAAATGAAACAGACTATAGCTTAAAGACTAGTTAATCAATAATTCATTGTCACCAAAAAATACGGTTTCACATCAAATATCAAGTAAAATTACAGTTTTTGACACTTTTTGAGCACTATGATATAGAAATGTCGACGCTGTATACGGTATTTAATACTTTCTAGAATCATGCAATTCATAGTTCGTTAGATGCACAAATATATATGCCACACAAAAATCATCTTCAAAACGTTCTGGCATTACTCTCTGAATTTTCACAATTTTTTATCAGAGGTGACCCCAGTCAAAAAATGGGAAACAAAATTTTCAGATTTTTTGAGTAAATGCGGTACTGCTAAAAAGGGCCTGAAGATAATGTCCACTTTCTCCAATGATTCTTTGTATGTCATCAAGTACTGATTATATTGATACCAAAACCGATCCAATATGTAACTACTACGGTGAATATTGAACAACAGTTTTAAATGAAACCAT